TAAATTAAAAATAAATTAATTAAATTAATTAATAAAAAGTACTCAAACGACAATACAGACTTCATGTGAACGAATGCTTATCTCTTGATATCCTTCTGCAACTCTTCTCACTGGTGTAAAATTTCATGTATCAGTGACACAACTAAATAACATCCAATACATAAAGAAATTATACACAAATGAGATGTTCATTGCTGGTCTGTCTGATTTTTTCTCTCGTTACTTAAAAAAAGAGACAATTTCAGGTGGCAAAAGTTGGTATGTGACACACTGCAATTCTTACATGAACGCAGTCTTGACATGAATGCAAAATAGGAAGAACCATGGAAGAAGCATATTAGGCAAGTGACTGCAACACCACCTGGTTCAGGTAACACTTCAGTCCCCACAAAAAGTCACTGCCAGTGTAATACAGCCTGTCCAGTTATTTTCTGCCCACTACATCCCCAAAATTATGGAACTGATAACAAACTGCAGTCGCTATTATTTGAAACAACATTCTGTATCCGATATGCATATGAATATACATATGGACACTACACATACTAGGTACACTACAGACACGTACACTATATATACTACGCAGACACCTATGTACGTGCACATATGTGTTAATGTAGAAGAAACGTATGTTCTGCAAGTAAGTCTTTGAGGCTGCTTGATATTTGCAACGGAAAAGTAACGCTCGCATGTGCTCAGGTTGCTGATACAGCAGTAAAAGCTGCAAAGAGAATGAAATTTATGCCACTTTATTTTACAGAGTAGCGTACGGTTCTCAGTAAAACATATGATACGTGGTTTTATTTCTCCATGTAAACAAATAATACCTGTACATCTCTGCAGCCATTCGGAGGTCTGCTGTGTTGATATATTCAAAACATGCTATATGTGTCTCAGTCCGTTCATTCGATTATGTAGCATTTTATTAAATGAGTTCCTGGTAATAATATTAACTGTAGACTTACCCTGGCATTGGTCCATTTCCAGAAAGACTATAAACTTGACGAGGATTTAAAAGGTACTGAAATTTTCTATAAATTCTGAAGAGGTAAAAGAGACAAGGAGAAAATATTTACTTACATGTTTGGATTTTTTTTTGAAAACCTATCAAATGAAAGAATTAAAGAAATTAACACGTACTATAATTATTTGAACTGCAAGATTTCATTAAAAATCAAATATTTGAACACAGCAATTATATGTCATACACACAGTGTACAGTGTATCTACATGGCTAGAAGTGCTACAAGCTTTCTACAATACAAATGTTGTACAGAGGAAAAAAACAGAAGTAGATATAAAGACACAAGAAATGGTGAGGTAAAAAAACTATCTGAAAAGGTGCATTGGTTCTTATTCAAGTAAGTCAATGGTAAAGGTGAGTTTTATCCCTAACATGAAGTTGCAAATATAACTAATTGCAAATCAGATTGGGTTTGCCGCCCACCAGAAACATCCCCATAGGTTGAACAACATCCTGAGAAAGAAAATCTACTGCCAACTACATCTCCTTTGGATTACATCTGAATAGGAAGAAATAAAAAAATATTCAAATCTATTGTTTTACTTAAATAACACATTTCATAATTAAAAAAAATAAGAGCTGAATTGAAAGTTAAAATGTTCATGTTTTCAAAAAAATCTACTGCCAACTACATCTCCTTTGGATTACATCTGAATAGGAAGAAATAAAAAAATATTCAAATCCATTGTTTTACTTAAATTACACATTTCATGATAAAAAAAAAAGAGCTGAATTGAAAGTTAAAATGTTCACGTTTTCAAATTCAGCAAAGTAAAACTGTCTAGACACATTGAGGGATTCTTTTTATTTCATTATTTTATTTTATTTATAGCAATACATAATTTATCAAACTGTAAGGATACTCAGTGCAAACTAATCGCCAAATTGCAACACTTTTTAAACTTCTCAATTCTTTAGTGATATTAGTTTCTTCATAAAGCATTGTATTCAAACACAATCTATTCCTGACAGAAAAAGTCAATGTGAAGTGAGTGATTTCACTTTACTGGCATGCACATATCATTGTCAACGGCTGTGACGGTGACTAAATCAGGCTTTTGACGGGATTTACAATGCAGCATTTTTCCATTTCATGACCAGCATCTTACCAATGCAAAAGAATCTTGTTCATAATTCTCTAGTCACTATGCATAAGTTGCTTCTCAGTGACATATAGGATTTAACCTGGCCAAAGGTGCTGCTAATTTGTGTATTTGACCATCAGGAGTTCACGAACGGTATTGTTACGAAGTCCCAAAGGCTTTGCCTAGAAGTTTGGTGCTACGTTACATAGAGCCATTACCTACACTCACAATACTGTTGTCAGTGAAACTCTGTAAAAGCATTCCTAATAAGGAAGGAGCTAGGTATTTTTAGCCAAAATGAGAAAGTCCACCTGCAATAATGAAGTGATTACACTGAATCATACTTGATTCAGTGTGTACCATTGCTAGGTACCAGTTGACCATCAATATCCAATAATCACTCTATAAAGACTCACTGGAAATGATGCATTCTGCTTTAAATTATTATAAACTGACGCAAATATGCCTCTGAACATCTTGCTTCTGCATGTAAGGAATGAATTGGACACAGTTTCCTTGTGATGGAGATTGTGCTGACAAAGCCATGAGGCAGTGTGGGGGGGTAATGCCCCAAAAGGAAGCAGTCTGTGATGGACTGTAATTCCATGATCAAAGCCACCTCATGAAATTACCCATTGCCACCACCACCTCCAGCTGGTTCGTACCCCACAACACAGTTTATCAACAAACAGTTGTGCTTCTGTAACCATTTGCGAGGTTATTCTGTGATGTGGAAAACTAAACAGATTAATCTAAAAATACAAATCCTGAGAAAAGTTGCCCTGTGTCATTTTTTCCCTTCACTTAAATCATGCCTGTGAGTGCATATGAACCTCAAAAAAGCTGCATTAGCATAACCAAGGAGACAGAAAATTACAGCTGGAGTGGCCAAGAGGGCTGGGATAATCTTTAAACAGCTCTGCTGCTGAAGAAAATACCCTTGAGTGCACCCTAGGCTGAGTTAGGCTGGGCTATCTTCTGATAGATCAGTCCTTTAGAGAGACGAAAGAAATAGAGTTGACTACACTGGGGAAAAAGCTGGCCATAGCAGTGCCTTGTGCCAGCCGAGGGATGCATCTTCACTCATCCAGGAGGCAAGTAGCCAAGATGTGTTCAATATAGGCTTCATTTAACTCTAATGGCGGAGAAGAAAAGAACAACAAGGACTTCTCCCCAAAATTAAAAGAATGCTAGTGATATTCTCTCCTAGACCTGACATTCGAAAAAGATCATTTGAAATTGCTTCTACATTTTATCTCAATACTAAATGAAAGCTTAGAAAGCCAGGTTAATCAGAAGGCAGGAGGGAAGAGTTACCATGAACCAAAGTTATCTGAAACCAAAGGTCATCAACCCGTTCGGCACAGACTCAGCAGGAAACGTCAGTGTACGGAAGCTGATCTCCAGTGCATCCAACCGCACATTTGTCAAGGAAACAATTGTTTAAACTCACCTGCTGGTCAGGCAAATAAATTGGAAAATGGAGAAGTGGAAAACAAAGTAATGAGGATGGCAAAATAACAGCATGATTTAGAAGGACTCTTATGTGAGAAGCATTACCTTTAGCATTCTTCGGAAGAACTATGTGCTTGTGTACTCTGAGCAAAGAAAGTACTTTGCCAATGACATACTAAATATATACATTCTATTCAGAGACTGTTGAAAGCTCTTGTCTTGATTAGTCAGATCTTAAATGCAGACATATATGACTGTTAGGTCTGGATGAAATGGATGTACTGGGAATTTTTCTGACGAGATTAACCACACCTGTCCATTTATGTACAATCACTTAAAACATAGAATCATAGAACAATTCAGGTTGGAAAAGACCCTTGGGATCATTGAATCCAACCATTAACCCTACACTACAAGGTCACACCTAAACCGTATCACCCTACACTACAAGGTCACCCCTAAACCATATCACCGAACACCACATCTAAACGACACTTGAACACATCCAGGGATGGCGACTCGACCACCTCCCTGGGAAGTCTGTTCCAGGGCATGACCACTACTTCCATGAAGAATTTCTTCCTAATGTCCAGCCTAAACCTGCCCTGTTGCAACTTGAAACCATTCCCCCTGGTTCTGTCCCTAATTACCTGTGAGAAGAGACCAGCACCAGCCTCTCTACAATGTCCTTTCAAGTAACTGTAGAGCATGATGAGATGCCCCCTCAGCCTCCTCCTCATGTTACAGTGTGAGATGGCCTGAGGAAGACACTTAACTGATTTGCTGAACTCCTGCCTGATCTCATGCTCAATTAAATTGTATTTTTGCTCCTAAACTCACCAACTTTAATTTGTCACTAATTGAATTATATTTCTATTCTACTTTATTATAAAGATATGTATTATCCACTAGATAAAATGATCTAAGTCTAAACAACTGTAAATGCATTTGTGTTTCAGGTGATGGGTAATAAGTATTAATTTCTGCATTAAGAGGAAAGTATAACTGGGTTTATTTTATAGTTCTTTATTTTGCAATCATATCTGAAAGTTAAAGCATTGGTTTTCAGTAAAGAAACCTATTCAAGAAGAACGTCATACTGCTGTACCTTTTGCAAAACTCTGGCTTTCTATCAGAAAGTTTTAAAATGTATCAATAAGGTCATTAGATACTGTTGTAGAGAAAGAATTTTCATGTTCTGTATGCACTTTTTCTACATATCCATTTGTTCCTCACCACCTTTCTGTTTAAACATTCAGAAATCAGAACTAAAGCACTAACTTATTTTACCGTAAAGCGATCCTCAGTTCTTTTCCTTTGTATTTCAGAGACTTGAAAAAAATTGCAAAACACAAAAGGCAATGGCAGAGTATAAATGGGGGAGTGCATTTATTGAACATGTTGTCAGATGGATGCATACACTTTCTTCGAGTCTAAGGGCAAGGAAATGGGCTGGGTTACCATATGGCAAGGCACAACATCTCATATGGGGAACTGTGGGAACACTGGAGTCTTGCAGTATCTGCAGTAACCTTTCTGTGTTCAATGAAAGTCAATTAGAAATCAGAACTTCATTCAGCATAATCTCTCAAATACCCCAAAATCCTAAGTAAAGACTGAAGAATAGCTTTCACTAAAAGATCACCTTAGTCTGAATTGAGTCAAGATAATGAAATTCTACAAAAATCAGTAGGTTGTGGTTGAGGTTTTTTTTCCTTCCCTTCACTGCTGAGGAAATCTTACTTTTGTTATAGCCTAGCCTCTACCCCTAGCCTCTTAGTACCTGAACAGATTACGAAATCACTACAATCAAAAAGTCTGACTTGAATCACCAATACTGTGCATTTTGCAAAGCTATTTTTGTCTTCAAATGTCATGTAATTTAACTGACACAAAACTGTACAGGAATGGGAGGGAAAAATATGAGATTCTTCTCTTTCTGACTTGACAGTAGAACATATTACTGTATCCTGAAAATGTTTCCATCTCTTAGATTACAGCTTCTACCTAATAAGCACTCTTAATATCCTTGTTTAATAGTTTTATTACGTTACTGGTATTGATATGAAACATTAACATCTAAAAGGCAAACCCCTAAGAGGGCAAATCCCTTATCAAACAGTCTGTATGTGGACTTTTTTCTACCTTTTTGAACACAGTTTTAGATCTATCCATGAGATATCTCCTGCAGGCAAATGACTGTGACTATGCAGTTGACCATTTGATGCGCTCCCCCTCTACCATAGGAACATTTGGTTTTGTGTGATATCAAAGCCAATTTAAGAGGTTCAGAGACTTTACTCCACTCAGCTGCTGGTGGCTGCCCTCATACTATACACTTCATTGTGTAAGGACAATTGCAGTTAATGGTGTTAGTGAACGAAATGTGTATAAGACATTTTTCGATTTTAAATCATTCCTGTGATCTGCTTGGCCTCAGTAACAGTTGCCATTAACATAAACTGAGACGTGTCAGACTGCAATATGTGAATGGGAATAGGAGCTTGGGGAGGGGAACGGGTTTTAAACCTGCTTTTACCCCAGAGAATACCTAACATTAAACAACATGCCTCATGCATTAAGCCCATTCAGGCAGTAACACTTGAGACCAATTATGAGCTGAGAACTGAAAGCTGTGAAACGGCATTTCATTACAATCCTCCTAGGTTATAACTAACTATGTAAGTGCAGCTCCCTAACCTGCCTCTCACCTACAAATTTCCAGTCTGGATCTCTGATCTACTACTTTTTTTTTAAAATAAAAATGGCAAGCTAAGCACTAGTACATTACCTCCCACGATGGCCTTGACGGCACAGAAGACTGGGGCTACCTCACACTGCTGCTGTGTCTGAATCACGAATGCTCAGGATGGCTCATTTTGTTGTCATTGCATGTTCTTGAAACTGTTTATAATGAATCTCTCAGATTAACTGCCTTGGACACAACTAGCACTGTTGGCATTGCTGATAACAAGGTATACTAGTCCAGGGATTACACAATCAGGTTCTAAATGATAACTTGTTCTCCCAAAGATCTCTAAATACAGTTTGGGTTAAATGTTCTTCAGCTCTGAGAATTCCCCTAACATTTGCTCTGCAGGATTTTCTCCCTTTGTTCAATTTACTTTAAAGGACACTGTTTGAAAGAAGTAATCTAACGGAGTCAGTGAGGATAAAGCTGATTCACTTGCAGTTTACTTGCTTGGTTCCAAGCCTTAGAATCACACTGGGTCCTTCCTTTTGAGCTTTTGGTTACCCACATCACCCAGTATTCACAGCTGTCATCTTCTGTCTGATCTCGGCCAAAGACCATAACCTTTTACAAGAATTGAAGGATAAATTACAGCACTGACATGGTAAGCTAGGCTATACAAATTTGGGGATCTATGTGATGATCAAAAATTGCCATACTGTTAGCACTTGTGATTCTGAAATACCCTCTGAAAAACCAGCTCAGGGGGTAGCTAATTCAGTATTTCCAATTATGTTTAATGGACAGAATAGGAGGAGAATGCTCCTGACCTCTGTTTTATCATGCTTCTGATACACTAACGTTTAAACATAAACTTAAGCATTCTGAATTTACATCACTGTAATTACTGACATATATAAAATCAAGTATGTTCTTAAAGTTTATGTGATTGGACTTCAAGACGTTAACTGGATTGTTAGAATGCTTCCTATCCAGGGAAATCAAAAGGTTTACTTGTAGGAAATCTTACGGAAAGGCTGGAGAGTCTACTCAGTAAATCTTTGAAAGGCAAGACATACATTAGAATATGGAACAATGTTTCCAATTTAAATTATTGGCCTGACTGCGTATTTATTACAGAGATTAAAAGAAAACTTTTAACTTCAAAGTTGCAACGTAAAATATAGCAACTCACATCTTCATGTAAATCACACAAACCCATACACTATATATAGCTACTTTTTCTCATGTGAAATGAAACTGTTGTATAGAACTCATTCTAGGTTTTAACTGCACAATTTATAACTATATGTTAGTGTATACCTCTCATAAACAAGGATGTTCAAATGAGGCATAATAGTATAAAATGCTGGATTTCTTTTCATTTAAAAACTTTTAACATTCAGTTTTAAATATATTGCAGAGATCAGAATGGAGAGAGGGAAAAAAAAGGAAAAGAAAACAAATCTTACCTTTCTCCTTGTTTTCCACCACTCTTAGGATTGACAAAAACTAAAAGTGGATGAGTGCCTGGAACTGGAGTGATCTAAAAGAGGGGAATAACACGGATACTCATTAATGCTGTATGGTGCATTCATTTTTCCTACAGGAGACAAAACAAAAAGCTTAATGCAAGCTCTATATTATGCTATGTAATCCAGCTGGAAGCAATTCCATAATTTGCAATAATCCTCACTTCATTAATTTGCTAAAAATTGCAAGAGACTTTTTTTAATGCTGTCTGACTTACAGCTGCAATGCCATTTTAATCCATAATTCCATTTGAAAATTGATATATATAGGTTACATCCTTCAACAGAGAAGAAAACGTTAAATGCAAGAAATGCATGACCAATTCTGACAGTAATTTCCTATGGATAAAGCTATGAAGAAACTGCATTTTGTAGTGAGAAAGACAGTATATTATAGAGGTCAAATATAGCTATATAAAATGTCAAACTTGATGGATTTTTTTTTTTAATTAGAAAAACTCACAACATTTGATACATTAAATCATGTATCATGTTACATTTTAAAATGTAACAGCCATAACAACAAATCCCTTTAAACATCTCAGAAAGCTGGAAAACTTAAAAAAGTAGAGTGGGCAAGAAGTGCAAGCCTGAGGGAAGGACAGAGAAAACAATGACTTCTAACATTTTTTTTAATTCTTTTGTGCATGAAAAGTTTTACATGTTCATATTAGCTTTTAGCTTTACAAACTAACATCTTCCATTTAAGTAACAGTATTAGATACTCTAAGATGTATGTGTTCACTGTCTTTGCTCAAGACCTGAAGAATATAAAAAAAAAATCACATCAGATGATCTCTTTCCAATATCTGTTTTTAAACCATAAAGCTAGACTATTCATATTTAAAATTATCACTTCTAGACACATATCAATCCTAGAATGTTTAAAATTATATTGAGTTCAAAGTCAACATGTGCAAAGTCATGCCCCATCAATCCTAGAATGTTTAAAATTATATTGAGGTCAAAGTCAACATGTGCAAAGTCATGCACTAACAACTCCAGAGATGAAGCTTAGACTATCTCTCTGTTGGAAAATGATACAATGAAACCTCTTGCTCCAAATCCTTACTCATTCCTGAAATAACAAAATCTTTTCAGTAATGAAACCTCTTGCTCCAAATCCTTACTCATAATTCCTGAAATAACAAAATCTTTTCAGCCAAAGATCTCATAAAATGTAATTAAAGGCAGAAGCCAAGAAACACGATAGTAAGGAATTTTACAGGCATCCTATAGACACAGGCATCTAATCCTAAAGGCATCTAAAAGCACTTCTGGTAGTTAGTGTTAGGCACTAGTGTGTCAGCTCCATCCATTACTTCACAAACAACGGATCCAAACCTGCCCCAATATATAAAACAAATAATGAAAAATTCCAGCAAATTCAGTGGAATTAAACATAGCATAGAACCAACCCTCTGGCACACTTTGCCTTTACAGTGAAATGCCGTATGCTGAAACATATATCAAATTGCAGGATATACTGAAGTTTGTCATACATTTAATTTTTGTCTGGTGTTTTAATCAATTTTAGTTATTTAGCCAATTCCCATGATGTTTGTTCCTGTGAACGAAGTGTAAACCAATGGTGCTCACCGTGACAGAGATGGACTACCTACCGAAATCGCTTAAGACGCAGGTTAATTAATGAGACTCATCCTAAGGTTCTACATGATCTATTACTTCCTCTAATTAGAAATAATAATCCTGATCATTATGCTGGTTAGCTAGAAAGAAGTAAGATGAATGTGCTTAACTATGATTAATTGTCTTTAAGTCGTGCAGATCTTCACTGCCACTAAGTTATCTGCTCACTGTAGTCTCATGGAAGGAAGGTTTGGTCTTCATACTTTTCTCAACAAAAGTTAAATCTTCAGTTTTAAAACTTAACCATGTTATTACAAGCAGAAGGCTTAGGATCGTAAAAAAAAATAATCAACTAATAACCAGTTTGTATTCCATTCAATTCCAAAACAAAGTCTCAATTTCTTACAGTTTTTCCAAATTAGTTTTCTGGATAATGTAGATTTTTCCATATTAAAAAAACAATGCAACTAAAGATTTAGAATAAATTGGTGAGCATTTTCAAGCCTTAACATACCATAATTTAAAGGCAATCTCCATGAAGATATTGGACAAGTGACTTAAAGTAAAAAAAAATAAAGATAGTAATGTGAGGTCTAACAGGAGTAATAGGAAGACTTGCTAGCTACCTTGGATATGTCAGCTTAGGAATTTAAATCACACAAATGCAACTAGCAAAACAATCAAGTTTTCTGAATTAAAAACGTTCCAAAAAAGGTCACAAAAATCCTTTACTTTTTCACTGAAGATAATGTTAAAATGAGACCAGGCCAGAAAAATCAGAGCAGCATGCTTCAGTCAGATATGGGAAAATCAGTACATTATACTTTGATCAGCTACACAGTTTTTCGGTCCAGATCATCTTAAGCCAAAATACTGACATTAATTACTAGTTATATTTATGGAATCTCACATCTTTGTGGAAGTAGCTCCAAAATGATACAATCTGTAGGTGAAAAAAAAACCCCTAGCAGTCACTGATCCCAGCATTTCACCAGAGTATGCTTGGAGATCCACTCAAGCCTTCACAATGATCGGGTTATCATTACTGATACAGATTCACAGTTGGTGCTAAGATGGATTCCTGTTCAAACTGGTTTTATCCAACAGAGTAAAATAAAAAAACACAGTATAATCAGTAAATTAAGGTAATTACTCCAGAATTATTTCTAACACTATTACCATGATTACCAGTATCATATTATGCACTAAATCTGGAACAGGCTGCCCAGGAAGGTTGTGGAATCTCCTTCTCTGGAGACTTTCAAAACCCACCTAGATGCGTTCCTGGGTGACCTACTCTGGGTGATCCTGCTCTGGCAGAGGGGTTGGACAAGATGATCTTTTGAGGTCCCTTCCAATCCCTGACATTCTGTGATTCTGTGTTTATAGATGTGGTATTACAAAACAATATCAAGCACATCAGAAAATACATCAAATCTATTAAATAAATATTCTACTATCTTAGTTCCCACTCTTATTCTTTCCTTCTCAAGCAATATAAAATAAAAGCAACGATAAATCCTAAACTTTGGATTCATCATGGAAAAAGAAGACAGAATGTATAGTTTTGGATCATATTAACAAGCTTAAAGAAAACCTTATGCTCTAGTTACCTGAAAACAGAAATTTTAATAAGTTAAGGTTGTGTCTGCAAGAGTCAGTGGTGCTAGGAGTTCACTATTTTGAACAGAGCAGGTGTTATATATCTCAGGTTCTCTATCACATGAGTGGGAAATAGAAACTTGAAAAATATACGGAAATATACAATGAGCACAAGCAATCTAATAGGTAGACTAAAACCAAAATTCTTGATACATGGTGCTACTACCAAAAGGAGTCAAAGATGCTGCTCTGTCTAAAGCAGTTAGGCTCACTGGAATTGCACAGATATCACCCAAGAAGGCAGAAAAGTCTTTGTACTTCCTTTAGCACTGGTTTAAACATCACAACATGACCGATTAGACAGAGCTTGAGCTTTATGTCAAGGAGTGTTCTAGCCTTCTTGCTTCGTGTTCTGTCACAGTTGATCTGGATAGCAATGCAGACTGTGAGGATGGTAAGCACAGGAAAAGAGCCATGTATAACGTTTGCCCTAATACCCTACGAGATTATCAACTTGTGCACGTTACTGCACAAGTTTTAGGATCTGGCTTTTTTGGGTTTCTTTTTGTTTGTTTTTTTTTTCCTCCTTTTCTTTGGGTTGTCATAACAAGAATGTTTCACTAACCTAAAAAGATAAAACAAGCCTTTCAATCCTGACACAATAAGGTGTGTCATGAAATAATTATGAGGTATACAGCATTTGATATATGCTAATGGCATCTTTTACATTTTACTGAACTTCGATCTCACCACATCAAGAGAGACAGAGAACAGTCAACTACATATATTAAACGACTATCACATTGCTATGACAATGATCGTTTAACTCCTGAGGAGATAGAGAAGCAGCACCACATACGTGAACATTGGTTTTACTCAAAACTACTCATATCTCAAGGGAAAGAAGTCAAGCAGTTCAGGCAGAAGTTCTGATATGCCTCTATGTAACCTCTCTAAATTAACATTAGTTCCTCAGACACACAAGTTTGTCTTTAAAGTAGAAAAAAACTCCACATTTTTATTCTCGATGTCACTATTACTGAAATCACCTTGCTTCTCTCCACTTTTGTTTTTGATGTGTCAAATACCCTCTTGGAAATATCTGGACAAATAACATCCTTGAAGTTTATTCCATCCATCCATTAATTAGCAGGTTCAAAGGAGAACAGTGAACACTCAAACAGTTATCAAGACAGACTGATTTATAACATAAATTCACACAATGCTGTGTGACAGATACTAAATCAATCGTGTTCAGCTTCACCCCACAATACAATTGTTTCAGAGCTAGTTTTCCCTCCCCCTTGATGTCTTAGGAAATCCTACTAATCACATGAAAAGCAGATTTGCACTAGAGAATTCCAACACAAATGGAAGAATTTACTTATATTTAAATATGTACAAGTAAAATATTAGATAAGTGAATGTATAGGGAATATTTCACTTTAAAAACTGCTCACTCTATCACTGTTTGCATTCCTACAAGTATCTCCTTAAAATTAAAATAACAATAATCACACCTGAAGACCTTGTCCATCTACGGTGACGGAATTTGCTCTTTGCATTTTATTCCGTTCTGCCAGTTTGTTCATTTGCTGCGTGCAACTCTTCTCTTTTTTCACTGTTGCCTGTCTTTCCTTGAAAAAAAGAAGAGAAAAGGAGAATATGGAACATTTTAACACATTATCTAATGCTATACAACTGTAACCGAGACTGTGCCTCCACAAAGTTGTTTTTTTGACTAGAGAGTAATGTCAGATTCTGCTTTAATGAAAATGAGACCTCAGTCAAGTTATGACACAATGTCTGGTCACTTCACATAACATCTATCTATGTGCCTGGACATTCCATAATGACTAGGCAATAGATGGATGAAAAGTGTGCAGTCACAACACAAATTAATGCAATGATGCAAAAAGATAATCTGACATTGCCAGGATGGCATTCTGGAACTTGAAAGCCAACCATATAATATACTTGACTGTTTAATAAGCACATTGATGGGAGGTCAGTAATTTAACAAAATTTCATTCTAAGTGCTAGCAAAGGTTGGATGCTTCAAGAGTGCTTCACCACTTTGGCAAAATATACCTAATTCTAAATGTACCATCATCAACTGAGCTGCTTTTTATAAACTATGTATTTTGAATCAGAAAGAAACCAGAATCCACATCAGATTCTAAGACATCAGTAATTTCTGATGCTGATACATACCACAGTCAGGTGGTTATCTGAAAGAGGAAAGCATGACAGTATATCTCTGTAATCATATTTTCAACTGTTGTCAGGTCATTTTAAAGAACTGGCATTGGAAAAAAAAAAAAAAGTCCTTGCTCTTTGTATCTCGTTAACCCTATTTATAAACTGCATCCAGCATGTCCTTTTAGGTTGTCCAAAAATGCACCGTACATTACGACAGCAGATGTTTACCAAATTGAATCCTCCGTCCCATTAGCACCTCAGTCACTTTCCTCGCTTCACAAGCGCAAGGAGGCTTTAAACTGGCCAGGGGAATGGGCTGGCACAAAGCTGCTGGACTAGAAAGGAGCATGAAGGACACGGTTGCACTCCCTGCATCTGCACTCAGTAAGCAGTTCATTAAATCTTCCCATTTATGTTCCATACCAGGCCAGACCCATTTCTGCGCTACCTCCAATAAAGCCTTAGAAATTGCAACAGCTATTAATCCGTGTCACTTTTTCTGGAGCTGTTTAAACTGGGAAGAAACATTGATACAGATTCTCTGGCAGGAAAGGAATAACTCGCAGCTTAATACAGTGCCTTCTAACAATCACTGGATTTACGCCACCTTTAGCTTCCTTCAGTTTGGAGATTGACCTGGTCCTGATGCTAATAGTGGTCCAGGTCATTCCAAGCTGCTTTGGGTAGCCAAGTGCTTTGGGGAACTGTGACAATCTCATCACATTTCCTAGAAAAGGACTAACAAACCTACATCACAGAAAATAACAACCATGAGGGGAGTCTACATTATATTCTGAATGCAGTGAGACTCCCAAGAGGTTACTTATCTGAGCTTTTGCATGCATTGAGTATCTTGATCTGTTCAAGAGTAGGTCGACCAATCTAGACTTCAACATCACCGCTTTAAATAGAAAATAGTAATTAGAGCTCCTCAGCTCGGTCCTAACCTTCAAAATATAAACACTGTCCATATCACTGCCTAACAAATCATCAACTCTGCATTTAAATATTTTTTTAGAAACTACAACTAGGATGAAGCCTCCAGACAAAGTAACAACTGTGAGCTAACACAAAACATTAATGCACAATAGTGTTGGTTACTGCCAAGGACAGTGAGTAAGAAACTTTGGTATGAAGGAAGCGTCACACTTTGTTATATCTGTAAAAAGTAGCTTTGGGATGTTAACGCACTTTGTGAATAATTATCCTCAAAAGTCATACCATATTAAACAAGATTTGATATTATGGCCTTTGATATCTGGCTCTTGGATATTGCAACATTTTCAAAAAATTGAATCAGATGTCAGTAACACAGAGACACAGCTAGTAACAACCCCTGATTTCTAACAAATATCAAGGAGGGAGAGTAAATTTTAAAAAGTCTAGAAAAATGTTAAGCTGAGCAACACATTTGTGCCAGTTCAAAGGAAAAAGCAGCAGCAAGGAACAGAGCCAGGATACGGAGTATGTACATTTAGAGAAGTTAAAAAACACTGTTCAAAAGAGGCCTACTTATAATGTGTGGCACTAAAAATCTTGCGTATATCACGCTATTATTGAGAGGAAAAGTATTTATACACTGCTGAGAACCGTCCTTACGTGAATGATGCTTACCACAGTGCCCAAACCTGCTGTTATCAATCACTCACAAGCAAAATGCAGTAACAATTACCTCAAGCAATGTTTTGGATATTGTTTTTTTTCTGTTTCAGCACAATACAGATGGCAGCAAATACTGTAGCCGGCCTTGGCCCTATGAGTGCTGCATTAGCAACATTCCTTCTCCAATTTATATTACCTGTCCTATAAGCAAAACAATTGTCTGACTCCCAAAGACAGCTTCTCCTAAGCAGTGACTGCACAAGATTAGGCCATACATCTCACACAATACAAATAAAAAAGTATTCATGCTACAGAATTGTCCAGAGTGTTATTTAAAAAAATCAAATAAAGATACCTGAGCTTATTATCACTGAATGCCTGCTTTTTTTAGCAAGGATTTTTGAAGAAACTACCAATCAAGTACTTCCTATCTTATATGCATAACCATCTTATATGCATATAACAACATATCTACACCCATCTTATACGCATACTAAAACATATGTCACCACATCTACCAGTACTGGTCTCTTGAGACATTTCTGAAGAAGCTGATAGGAGATTTTAGACTTCCTAGAGTTATATATCCTATAATTTTTAAATATGTATCATATTAGTGAGGAGGTGACTTACAGTTTGTTTGAAATAATATAATAATGTGTATCTTAATTCTACTCAATGAATCTATTAAGGGAACACAAAGGTTTACCTTTTCATTAATAAAAAACTCTTTAAAATATTTTTGCACAGTTACTTTATTTTACACAGGAAATAGAACGCTGACTTTCTAATCCAGTTGTGTATGCCTGATTAATCACTTTTTCAGGAACTGCAACATTACTACAACATTACTAAGCTATTCAAGAGGGTCAGGAACTAAATGTTTTTCAGTGCAATAATAACAGTTTAATAAAATCATCTGATGATAAAAGCTTACAAATTCTAGCAATGTTAAGACAAATTTGACATGCATTGAATAAATGGTTTTAAAAAATGTAAAAATTTATTTTACAAGTTAAGAAATGTTTCTGCAAAAAACTGTGCTGTATTTAATATCCTGTAAATTAAAACATACAAAATGATTTATGCATCTGTGAACCATTTTGTTTAGCAGACATGCATGAGGTTGACAGAGATACTGAATACAGCATTTTAGAAGCTATTGTACATTTTGATGGCTCAAAGAATCAAGCTTTTGGTATGTGCCAGAGCACATGCCTTTCAAAATAGTACTTACCACAACAAAAATTTTACACCCCTTTTTGCATGCCTTCTTTTCTCCCCTTGAACTCCCTCTTGGAAGGCAAGAGCCACTAACTGGAGCTTCTACCATTTAGTTCTGCTCCAGAGAGACCAGGTAAGAACTACTCAATTGCATCTATGTCTTAAACATCCAAATGAGAAAAAAAACAAACCCAAACACTGGTAGATATGATGGCCTTTCAAATAACAACAGAGAACATGACGTCTAGATTTTCAGTTCAGCCCCAAAATGCACTTTATAGCAAAAAGAATGCACAATATCATGATCCGTTAGTACTCGTGGGTACACGGATGCCTCCCGTTACGCACCTCGGGGAGTAAACCTCCTAAAGTGGGTAGCGTCTGTTGGAAAAAGAGAACGTTAGGCTGCAACACCGAACAGCTGGGATGACAAGGAGCACGGAGAAAGCACGCGCCAGGCATGTTCCCTTGCAGCACTTGTACCTCTCAACAAACGCACACAGCGCTTCTGTGCGCGTTTGCACAACCGTACTCCCCCGATGTTTTGGCTGTCACGTTACGTAATTTTTATTCCAGGAAGTATGTGTGGGATCATTTTAGCACCAGATAAAGCTAGCAGAAAATCTGAGGACTTGATTCTTTCGAACAGTAAAAAGAGATACTTGGTACCTGGGGAGCATTCTCTTTATTTTATTTTCCACATCTTTGAATTCTCATCCAAAGTGAGGAATTATGTTTTAAAAGTTTTCTTCTACTACAGTTGACAAGCTAGACAACATTCATCTTCGGAAAGCATTTCTACTTTTTCTTTACACAAAACAGTAAGGTTTAGAAATACCATACTCTATCACAGCTGTTACAAGAAAACAGACAAATAGTAACTAATGGTTTACTAAATAGTTACCTCTTTACATTTTAACTGCTGACATAGAATCCAGAAAAAATTGCTTTTTCTCACCCTGTCTCTTAATAAACAAAAATCTATGTTTCTCGATTACTTCATACACTGCTGAGATTATCTAAAACAATTTATTTTGTACATTACATAACAATTTATTCATACACTAAATAAGACCATAAAGCCATTAGTGCATGGTTAACACCATTACACAGTTTGTCAAGCAACTACTGAAAACTTGAGATTACTTCTGGATGATAATTACATATTTTACACTATATGCCTTCAGATGAGGCATATACCCTAACACTCAACATGGCAACATGGGGATGGGGGTTTATAAGGAGAGAACCAAACTCTACATTAATATGCATAAACTGAAACCGATATTTAAAAAAAAAAATCTTACTTTAGAACTCTGAAACTTGAACTTGACAGATACTGATCAGGAGAATTCGTTCACAGAACATCACATGGAATGCACAGAATACTGTGTAAAGGTATCCTCAAATGTTTGCAGCATCAAGGGCGTGGAAGTTTAGACATGCAACGTGAATACCAAACTCATGCTTTGGGGTTTTTTTAAGGAGCTTGGAGAAATGTTGCTCCATGATTCCTTAGAGCTGTTTTGTTTAATGGCATGGGAATCTTCAAGGGATGCAAAAAGTTGTGCTTTAATATGTAATGAAATATTAGAATAGTTACTCCTAGACTGTCAGCTTGTATACCTAATGTGGTGTCCAAGACCTTGCTTACAAAAATTCCATTCCATGCGATTTCTCTCTGTAGTTACACAATAACAACAGAGAATCAGATTCAGACACCTTGAAAACTGGAAAAAACCCCCACCCATCACTACCCCAAAACCCTGGGAAGCAACTGATTTGTAATATCTAGTAGATATCACATCCAACTAACTATGCCTTAGAAGTGCTAAAATATTTTAAAAGTTTTCTTTATAAAATTTTCTCCACATTTCCAGCTCTAATCCCACGTACGTATTAATCAGAAGGGCCAATATCAGGACATCACATCATACTGTCCTGAAAGCTGATAGAGCTGTAGCACAATCCCCAACTCTGCATCCACGGGTTGAAACTAAAAGTCATTCTGTGGACAAGACTAGCAATCAATTCGCTAACAAAAATACCGTCCAGTGAGTTGCATATGTCCATACCATAAAGGAAAAGTAAGGCTTCTAATTTATCTGACAGTTGTCTTTATAGAAACATTTGCAGCTAAGAAAAAAATAATTTTAAAAGATCAAATTGTACCAATCAAAAGGAGGTATATTTTGTCACCCATAATACTAGTAGTAAAAATAGGTGGAAAAGACAAGACTGGAGATTACGTCATTCCAGAATACCTTCCGAAACAGCTGACTGCAAGACTGTTCTGTATCAGGAATCGCTCCATGAGAATTTATATACACACTTTGTGTTGCTTGTTTAATACGCCTTGATAAAGACGTAAAGAATTATACATCAAAATCACAATCAAATATTTCTCATTTAGCGTGTCAGCCTTAGTTCATTTACTTGGGTGAAGATAGCTTGCCTTACATCTTGCATCCATTCAAAATTTGCATCGACATGCACCAACAGCAGGGCCCAAGACTTTAATTTGCAACGGAAAATGAACTTGGGCTATAGCAGGAAATGATATACACCATCCAAGAAAGACAAAAGAGTTAGAAAAGAGTTTTGAAAATAAACACATGTGGAACTCCAATGGGAGAGAACGCAAGGAAAAAAAACTTTGGGACAGACAGTAGTGATGAGTTGTGGGCAGGCAACTAGGTATAACTTAAAATGATTGAATGGCTGCCATTTCAGTTTATCAGCATCTTATTATTTTAACATTGAACTGTGTTTGCCGAACAGATAATTAGTTAGGAAGATACATTTTCCTCAAGGGCAATTATTAATTTCCTTCTGACTTCAAAGAAATGAAAAAGTTCTTAGTGTAGATAAGCACACCATTGTATTTCAAGTCTGTTTTAGATTCTCTGAGAACTGGATCTTCAATATGATACACAATTGAAAAGGAAGAAAGTGTTTTGTTTTGTTTTGTTTTTAAAATGTTTCAATTGCTGTGCCATTACCAAATAATCAATATCCAGATTTAACCCCCCCACCTCCAGAAGCATGTATAGTGAAACAACTGGGATTTTTTGGTAGGATCTTTGTTCAGAAACTCAGAATAAGGCTAGTACTCAACTTGAAAGAATCAAGTTGCTTACAAAGACGCTTACACACTGCACTGACTTTCTGCATTCCATGCTGAGCTTGGGATTAAAGCGAGTTAAAACTGATCTCTGCTATAATAAAAACAGAAGAATCATTTTAGGATTAAAAACTGGAAAAGGAATTAAGAAAACTTACTGCTAATTCTCTCTCTCTACATCTCTGCTTTCCTACGTGAGTAACATTTAGCTACCTCACAGGAAAACAGTATTAGTAAAACGTATGATCAGACTTGGGAAAAACATCTAGTGAACTATGCTGCAATTATAACACAGGCATTAGCTAATTCTATCCAGTCTCACTAAATACTGATAGTCAAAGACAACTCTTGTACAGTATTTTCAACTTTATTTTCAACTTTCAACAAGCCATCATCAACACAAGTGCTATATTTACACAAAAGCTTGAAGCTATGGATCATAACGTGTTCTGTTTACTTGAACAAAGCAAATTTCTTAGCTAAAACCTTTGTAATCTGCTGTGTATATTGTTTTATGTGTCTAAATAGAACTAGTTACAAACAAAGATTTTTGACATTTATTTTCCTGTACAATAAAATGCCACACCAAGCAAGTGTATATAAATGAATTTGCTCTACGACATAAAAGAATTCTCTCCATATATTCTATATACCAAATTCTCTCTATGTATTCCATATTTATTTAAATATAATTTATGCTTAAATGAATTTGTCCTAAAAAGCTATAAGCATTTTCACTACACAAAAGAAAAGTTGAAAATTGAACAAAAGGAAAAGTATCCAATTTAAAATTTTACTTTTTCACTTCTTGTCTTAAATATTGTATTAGACTCTCCCACTTTGAAATAAACTGTTTACGGAGACAGTGATAACAGTCATATAGTAATGTTCACATCATAATGAGAGTACCTATGTTTCACATTTTATTCCATAATTTCCTTGTATTCCATGACTAACATTTTTAATTATAGCTTTTAAAAACAATGTTAGAAATTAAGTAAAAAAAATAATTCTTTGTAAAACTCACAAAAACAATAGGAAAATCAAAATCATCATACATTATGAAATAAATATATATTTATTAAAGAGTAAGCTGTTATTGGTTGGTTTGTTTTTACCTAAGGCTATATCTATTTTGGTGGGAAACAGAAAAACCTAAGTACTTTTCTACAAACATTAAGACAAATTAGAGAATTCTACATATTCATCAATAATCGGTGCAAAGTAAAGCCAGACATGAAATGAAGCCAAAACATATGATTTTTCTCTTTCTGCCTTAGAAAAGGACAGGGGGAGAGAAGCTGTATCATAAGGAGAAACTCATCTTTTTTTCTTCACTACTCACTCATCTCATTCCAATACCCAGTTTTTAACCTGGTTATGATCTAATTCTGTACTCTTGATAGGCTACGATTCAATTGAGTTAAAGATTTTTAAACTCACTGCCAGTCAACCTTATCATGAACTTTCATTATGTGCATGTAATTAATTGGGTCCAATGAACAATATCAGCACTGAGTTATAGACTTTTCCCCCCACCACATAATTAGAATATAATTACCCACAGGATATCAGAATGATGCAAAACCTTTCCTCTAAATGTGCCCTCATTAGGAAACAAGTCTCAATGTACATTTATTCAATCAGTATGAATTAATTAAAACGTTACCGAAATAAAAGGGAGTAACATTAAAGTGTATCTGACATCTATTAAAAGACTATCACTTGAGATCTGCACACACAGTTTATAACAAAACTCATTTAACTTGAACAAAAAACTTCGCCACACAACAAGCCTTATATGCGGTAAAGAGAAGAGTAAAAAGCTCTGGGTTTAAAGGTGACGGACCACGTTTTACTGAAACATTTAAAAGCACAGTGGTGAGATACGCAAAATCTTTATATGGCATTGAATCTAGACAGGTATGTGATTCTTTCATGACATACACGGTATCAAGTGCATGAGTTTCCCATGGCTTCTTTTTCACCCGAGACTGTTGTTTATCCTATTTAGGAATAACATTTGATAAGTTCCATTTTGTGCAGTTTTGAAGATGGGAGCCCTCTTTAACCTAGACCAGCCGTCTAACTTTCAAATGACCAGGCATTTAAGTTCTGCCTCCAGGCATTCAGAGACGGGATAGTACGAGATGATCATGTCGGTCACTCAATTTTTAGAAGAATCTCTCTTGTGTCTACAGAGAACTTCAATGAGTAATTTAGAATAGTCCCCTGAGCTGAGATGGCTATGTTCAGAGGCAAGAGAAATGTCACCCTTTGTGATACTGCAATCAGGAAAGGTGATTCTTTTTAACGTATTCTTCATAGTTGCAGCAGTGATTTTGGACATCAGTGGACACACAGGAAATGGAAAAACTGGGAGGATATAGACCAGAACCACAAACTCCAGCTGAGAGACCAGTTTAGTAGCTCAGGGCAAAACACATGATGCTGCAAAATGTAACTTATGGAAAAATTCTCTTTATCTCTTCAGAAAGAGTCCAGGCTGGACTTCACAAGAACTGAAGAAATAAGACATGCTAGATGAGAAAGGTAAAGATATGAATGTCTTTAGTTCCACAAAAGGGAAAAGACTCTTGAAAGAAAACGTATGAGAAGGCATCTTGGTCTGAGATGAACCCGGACAGTTTTCTGGAAGAAGTCTAAACTTCCAAAGTTACAGAAGAGAAGGCCAAAACTTTAGGGAGATCAAAGACACAAGATTTTTCAACTTGCTGTTTTCCCACAACTCCTGTATACTGTTCTATGGGAGAAGGAGATACGCCTCACTCTTGAGATCTCAAAATACTCAAGGATAAGCCTGGTACAGAAAGCATTATGGTGTATCTGCTTTTCTTTACCTTCCACATACATGTTGCACTGCAAGATTATCATTGCCCAGCTGATCAGTGAAGCCAAACGTGTGTCTTCTTGGCGAAAGACCCTTCTCTGCTGTCAGAGAACGCAGATGGATTCACTGGTTTTGCTGTCATTACTGAGAGGACTGGTCTCGCACACACGGAATCATTGTTTCTCAAAAGGAATCCCCGTAACAGAAAATGGGAGCAACTAATTCAAAAATTACTGACCTAAATAATATGTACACCATAATCAATCATTTCTAGGAGGAATTCCTATTAGCTAGGTCACTGATGTATTATTTGTAATGTAGGCGTACTTGGAATTTTAACGCATTTTGGGAAGAAACTACTAGATGAACAAATATACTATGAAATGATAAAGTTCCCATTAAATCACAGTAAAACATGTTTTCCATTCCTAACAATATACATTGTGCTGAATTACTTGGTTTGTATTACATTATTTGTATATAATACTGAAACTTGATTCTGATACAGGAAAATATATTTACTTCTGCTTATGCCTTCAAAAATTGCAGCTAGAACAAACCTATTCGAGGGTGATTTGACTCTAGAGTGGCTTTATGTATCCCCTAAACAACTTAACTAAATTCCAGTTGTGGAATGAAAATCTTAATTCCTCTATCTCTCTTCCTCTCCTGAAAAGAAAATGGAGTTACGCAAATATAATTGAAGATGAAATTTCATGCTGAGGCTTTATTCCGTTTATAAGAATGGCAAACGATAAATAAATAAAAAACCAGTCCAATAAAATAATCATAATTTCTACATGTTAAGTTTTAAACTATGACCTAAAATCCTGAACATTAAATCATGTCATGCAGAAGGTAATTATCCAACAGACTTAAATATGTTTTACAATTATTATTGATAATTTGTCCAGGTACTATTGAACTACTACTACAGACAAACTATAAAACTACTGTTAAGATTTTTCTAAGATATTAAAAAATGTTTCATTAATATTAAAGCCATCTTCCCATTGCTTTACCTTTATTGACAGCAACGGAATAGTCTCACTTAACTCAAGTAGAGGGTCAAAGTCTAGCATTCATATCTTAGCAGATTTATAAACAAATAACCAGAAGGATTAACCAGAAAATAAGTAATTTACAATAGACATGAATATTATTCTTAATGACCACAAATAGGATTATAAATTAGAAGGTATATTTTCTCGGTTTTCCTCCCGGCAATATATCATTCTTCCTTAAGAATTTTACTTTAAATATATTTCATAATAAGAGGACCACACGCCTGTTCTGTTATGAATATGATGACGCTATGAGTTTCATCAGCATAAACCATCCAATTTAATATACGACTACATAAGTTAATTCTGAAGCTTTTTTTTCATACAACCTACACATAGCACGCATTTTTATTTTCATTGAATTGAGTTACTGTTTTTTTTGTGGACGGAGAAGTTTAATGTCCACGACTGCAGAATAAAATATACCCTAATGTTGATGCATAGCTTACTGCAAGACCAGTGTCATCATTCTAGGTAACCTCCGGCTTAGATCAGAGACCTCAGCATTGCAGATATACAATATGCATCCCAAGCAAAACCTGTCTATAAGAATAACTTCATTATTCTGGGAAGCTGGATCTATAAAAGATGTAAAAGGTAGACACGTTCTGCCTATACAGTTTCTGGTAAGTACAGACTGAGTAAGTGATAATACCTGAGTCAGCTTCAGTTATAATATGCCCTACAGAAAATTCATTCTTACAGAAAGAAAAATGCAATAATACAGAGGATAAAGCACGCTTGTGCCTATAAACTCATCTGCCAGGACTACCCGTTGCGTTTAAAGTTCACACATTTCTGTGAATTTAACAAATACTCTGGCAGTCAGTCGCAGCACTGTTTTAGTCATAACCTATGGCAGTGCATTACATCCAAAATAAACATACAGACAACTCACCAGTACTACGGGGCAGATCGACGTGGGTGGTAAGATATGGTCCTTCAAAGGTCCACAGTCACATTCAGGTTTTAGATGTGAAGCACATTTGTTATGCAACTAGGGGAAAACCGAAAATGAAGATTCAACTTCAGACAATTTATCACTACAGTCTAAGAAAATGGTCATTCTAGAACAGGCTGAGTTTAATGACTGTAATTATTACAAAAGAACTACAACAAAAATGAAACATACTGCAGTGCAAAGTTTCTCAGGACTGATAGAACCAATGAATTCATATAGAAGCAAAGAAGGTGGATCAAAATACTTCCCACTTGGGAAATTGTCCATGTGGTCCAGAACACAAAATGAGAAAATCAAACTTTATATTGTGAAGTTTGGTGAAAAGTTATTATTTTGGACTCGATAATCTCAAAAGTGTTTTCAAACCTAAAAGATTCCATGATTCTACTTCTGTATTGATTCAACAAACTGTGCATTAAGCTTTTCAGGTAACATGCATTTCCCATAGAGATTAATATTCTATGTTTTGAGAAGATATGTATACTTGCATTAAATAATAAATACCAAGATAATAAATATAAGATATTTTGAAGCAAAAATCTTATTTAACCAGTGATCTAAGCTAATATAATGCGTATGTAGCATCCAGTATTAGTTTAAACAGGTTCAATAGCTGTTAGAAAAATCTTTAGTTCCATGTCTGCATCTGTAAATCACATTTTTCCAATGACTCATTCATTTTCCCTTAGATGATTTAACTACGTCAGTATGAACTCTATTAAAATTACCATAAAATTGTACCAGTTGCTAATCTATCTAAGCTTTACCCGTAACATGGTGTTCATAAAGTTATCTGGTACAGTTAATGTTGAGATAACATTTCTGAATTTTGAACTGAATGGCACTTAATGTTAGCCTTGACCACACTCATTTATACTGCAAAGTTACCTTTTCAGGCAGTTACTTAGCAACAGGAAAAAAGTCTAATGAGTTCCGATTTACTCTGAGTATTAAAGCCTTATTGTGGGGGTATTTTGGTAGCCCTGTAATCTAAATCATTTGTCATGCTAATTCTCTGCCTCAGTGGTAAGGCTACTTGTACCATAATTAATGCACACCAGGCCACGTTACATCAAATAAAAGTATCTTCACACATTCAGTGTTAATTAGCAGCTTTGCTACTTGGTGGCATGCAAACTTATCTATGAAAAAAAAATAGCTTAATCTTCTTATTAGTTGCTGCTGATCTTTGACAAGAGAATTGGCACATAGCAGATACAGAAATGGTAGAAGATATAGAGCTTTAATGAAAATAACACTTTGACACAACAAAATAATATTCATCACTTCTCAAAAAAAAAAGCTTTATCAGATATTAAATACATTTCCCCTAAATTCCCTTAACCCAAATCTAGTTTCCGTGGAATATTATCTCCTTCATAAACAGATGCTGCAAAGCAGGAAAAAAAGGTAATTGCTGGACAAACAAACAGGGAAAAAAACATTTACAAGACTGTAGCAGAGAACTACAGAGTATATAGAATAGGAACCATGGGCCTAGCTGAAAACTCAGTAAAACAAACTTCCTTAGTGGAAAGACATCTCTCAATTTCTGCCTTCCAATACCTGAAGGGAACCTACAGGACAGCTGGGGAAGGAGTTTTAAAAGAGTGTCCAGCGATAGGACAATGGGAAATTGGTTTAAGTTGAAGGAGAATAGATTTAGATTAGATCTTAGGAAGAAATTCTTCAGTATGAGGGTGGCAAGACTTTGGAATAAATTGCCCAGAGATGTTGTGGCTGCCCCCTCCCTGGAGGTGTTCAAGGCCAAGTTGGACGGAGCCTTGAGTAGCCTGATCTAGCTGAGAGGTGTCCCTGCCCATGACAGGGAGGTTGGACTAGATGATCTCTGAGGTCCCTTCCAGCCTAGGCCATTCTAGGATTCTATGATTTCAGAATTTGATAGTTATTCAACAGTAGAGGTGACCTTATTAAGTTGTAAGAAAGACAGGCGTGTAAAATGCATGTAAGAGGCTCAGAATTAGTTGTGCAATATCTAGCATCCTCTTACATCTCAAAAATGTCAGCAGCAAGCCCTAAATGTGGTGTTGTACAAGGAGTTGAAAATGTATGGAGGATATGATGGTAATTACATAAATTCAGAATATCCATTCAAACATCATGCACATTAGAAATACATATTTTTTTAGTAATGAAGTTACTACTATTAGTAAAGAAACTTATTGCAGTAATATAGAATACACAGAACTGCAAGAAAAGTGAATAGAAGACTGAAAAACAAATCAATGGCAGTTTTTTAAAAACCTTAAAAATAAGCA